GGGTGCGTGTGGTGGCCGGCGGGCCCCGCCCGCCATTGTCCATGCCCTGGTCGACTGCCTGGGGGAGTTTGTGCGCAAGACCTTGGCGACCTGGCTGCGGAGACGCGGGGGCTGGGTGAGCACAGCAGGGAAGGGCAGTGGGCACTAGGTCCCCCTCCCAGCCAGACTGCTGTCCACCTGCCCTGTGGGCAGAGGGCGGCAGGCAGAGGCCAGCCCTGGCTGGGGATAGGCAGGGTCAGGCCCATCAGAGGGAAAATCTCAACCCCATGGGGACAGTCTCACCCCATCTCCCCTCCAGGCTGAACCCCTGCCCAACCGAGGTGCCCTGGGGAGGGGGCGGTCAGATGGAGGCACTCCACCATCCCATGCACTTAGCTGTCCAGTCTTGGCCAAACCCTGGACACTGCTGGGCCAGGCCCTGGTCTGACCTGTCTCATGGTTCCCAGGGCGACCCTGGGGGCCACGGGCTCAGCACACAGAGGTCTCTGGGCCTCGGAGCCGGCAGCAGAGGATGCTGTGGCCCGGCCGTGGCTGAAGGGGCTGCAGGGAAGGCTCCGTCTCTGCAGGGGTGGACCTTCGCCCATCCTCCTAAGGGGCTTCGGAGACTTGGCTCCCAACCCCACTCCCAGGCAGGCTGCTGCTGGATCGGGCCTTCCCTGCAGCCCTGCCTCAGCCAGGAGGGCCTGGTGCTGAGCCCTGTGCCCTCATCCCTCCTGGTCCAGCACCCCCCTCATCCCCTTCTTCGGTCTGCGTGGCCCCTGCCCTACCCCGCCTCCCCACGCCCTCTCAGACTGCACTGACGGCTGCTGGGAGGAGGAGTGCTGGGGGGGCGCGCCCTGCTAACTAACTGTCCCCTCTCCCCCCAGACCGACGTCCTCAAGTGCGTGGTCAGCACAGACCCCGGGCTCCGCGCTCACTGGCTGGTGGCTGCCCTCTGCAGCTTTGGCCGCTTCCTGAAGGCCGCCTTCTTCGTGCTGCTTCCCGAGAGGTGAGCCATGCAGTTGGCGCTGCAGCCTGGCCTGGCTGGTCCGCGAGGCCACGGCACAGGATGCCTCCTGGAGCTCTCCAGCCCTCGGACCCCCACGTGGACACTGGACGCCGGCCCTCAGTCCCGGCCCCCACAGACCCAGGCTCTCTGTGAGGGGCATGGGGAGGGCTGCCCTGGCCCTTCTCCTGGACCCCTGTCCCCTTTTCCTTCCGGAGTCAGAGGTCAGGGTCCATCCCAGCCCCATGGGAAGGAACCTGGGTACCCTCCCAGGACCCGAGCTGACCTCGGTCCTCGGGCAGATGGCTGCGGAAGGCAAGGGCTCTTGCGGGCCCCACAGGTAGAGCAGGGGCTCACGTACAGGAGGGAGGTCCCCACCTTGACAGTGTTGTCATGCCCTCAGAACCAGGTAGTGCTCCAGACAGCCGCAGCTCCTGACACGGGTGGCCCTGGGGCCGAGGCTGGCCCCTGCTCTCTCGCACCGTCTTCAGGTGGCCACCTGGGATGTCTTGCCGGAGCCCAGACCTTCAGCCACACGCCCTCCAGCCCTGCCGCCCGTCCAGCCCTGTGCTCACCCACCCCCAGGGTGGCGCCTGACTTGGGCGTCCCGCAGGGCTGTGCTTGGTGGTGGGTGCCAGGCAGGCCCTACTGACCAGCCCTCTGGAGGCCAGGCCAGGGCTGGGAATGAACGTCTCCGTCTAGATGGAGTTGCTCACCGAAGGGGCCCTGCCTGACTCTGGCCATGGTGCAGGTGGGAAGGACCAGGCTGGCGGGGTCTGGAGAGGCCCTCTGGGCTGGTGGACTCAGAGGCACGAGCTGCTGCCAGTGGCCAGAGGCAGAGTCCACACTGACACAGGTCACGGGCACCTCACTCTGGGCCCACAGAGGCCAGGCTCTGGGCCCAGGACACCTGCCCAGCCAGGTGGGGGGGCGGCGCCCGATGGCGCTTGTGGCACTGGATGGCCTGGGAGACGAGGACCAGCCCAGGATTCAGGTTGGCATGTGAGTGCCAGAGGCCCTTCTCTGCAGGCCTGCAGTGCTGAAAGAAATGCGGTCTTTTCTTGCCCGCAGGTGGGGGGTCGTGGCCCAGGGGTAAGCCCCGACCTTGCACGGGGTCCATTATGGGAGGGTGGCCTGGGGGACATGGGGTCTGGAGGACTCGTCGTGTTGGGGCCCCACCTTGTCACTGGTCCTTCTTCCAAGGAAGCTAGACACTTCACCTGAGACCTACCCCACCCAGGCTCTGTTCCATCCTGACCTGTAACCTGCAGCCCCCAGACAGGTTGCAGGTGTGACCCTCAGGAGGGGAACTTCTGGGTTCCCTGGTCTCAGCAGCCCAAAGTGGGGGACTGTAGGGGTGGGATGAGTGCCTGCCTTTGCTGCGGGCTCTAGGCTGCCTACACTGCAGCTGCGGTGGCTGACGGTGCCTGTCTCCCTTGGTCCAGCAGAGGGGCCCCGGGGCCAGGCATGCGAGTGGTGGCCCCTGTCCTGTAGCTCTGTCCTTGGCGCTCTGCACAGGCTTCCTGGACCCTTAGTGTGGCAGGCCATGCCCAGGCTCAGGTTCTGAGCTGGGTCTGCTGGGCCCCATTCTGGGTGCTAGAAGGAGCCAAGAGGGAGGTGAGCTCCAGAACCTTTGTGCAGTCGCTACCTGGGTCACACCTCAGCTTGGGCCACGAGGCCTCTCCCAGGCCTCTCCAACCCTGCAGGTCGGGTCAACAGCTGCCCTGCCCTCCTGCCCAGCCAGTCCCCAAGGCCCTGCCTTCTACCCACTGAGCTCTGCCCCCTCCCCGTCTCTTCCCTCCAGGAACTGCGGAGAGGGGACCTGGGAGGCCTCCGGGCTGGCCAGGGTAGGCACACCTCTGTCTCTGCCGATCTAGCCAGCCCTGCCCGCAGATCAAAGCCTGGTATTTCCAGCACCAGATAGCAATGCTGTGACAGAATTCAGGAAGTGGTAGGAGCTAAGGAGCACACAGACCAGAGTCTGCATGTGCAGCTGGGCTGAGAGAAAGAGGCGCTGCTTCTGGTAGGAGCCAGGACAGGGCTCTGACACGCAGGGCGGGGCTGAAGCCTGGAGGGAGGGAGGCTTCCTCATACCTGGGGCCACTGTGCACTTGGACAGACAGAAATGCCCTGGGACAACTAATGAACTTCACCAACTCTGTAAATGAATTTACAAATCGAACGTAATCTGAATAAAAATACCAGAAGCTTCCTCTCCTGGACCTAAAGCAGTTAATTACAAAGTTCAAATGAGAGGGACCAGCAGATAGCGTAATGGTTACATCGATGGACTCCCACATAGTTGACCATGGTTTGAGTCCTGGATCCAGTGGCTTAAAACTCACAGTGGATGCATGTGTGTGCATGCCCAAGATCCCGAGAGAACAGAGGAGAGGGATTGTGGTGTGGCCATCTCCCCTGGCGGGTGATTTTTTGCTTTCTGGCAAGCACATGTGCCTTATAGTGAAAATTTCTCTAAAAAAATAAAATAAATGGGAGAAGAACGAGTCAGGAGAACCCAGGAGGAGGGATGGGAGGGCCTTGTCAACCTGGCCCAGAGCAGGACACATGCAGGTGCTGAGACCCCATGGAGACTCCAGAAACAAGCCCTTACCTGTATGGAAAAGGTGTACCTCACAGTAGCGGGGTGGCCACTGACCTCGACGCTGCCATGGGAACTACATGGGCTGCCCTCCTGCCTTGGACCTGGGCAGAGTGCACACCGAAACCACCGGCTGGCCTGGTGCAGGGGTCAGGAGCCGTGCAAAGGAAGTCAGGTCCCATGTGGTCAAGAATCCCGGCCCCGCTGGCTTTCCACTGGGTGCAGGTGTATGTGCCCACGTCCTGCCAGGATGGGCACTGGAGGGAGGGGTGGGCCAGCCCCACTGGGAGGCCTTCTCTTTCTCATGCCCATGGCCTTCTAGCATGAAAAAAAAAAAGAGAAGTACTATGAGTAAAAGGGTGAATTCCTTTGTAACTAGGGAGTGGGCAAAATCTTCCTAAATTGCAGGTGTATGTGCCCACGTCCTGCCAGGATGGGCACCACAGGGAGGCCTTCTCTTTCTCATGCCCATGGCCTTCTAGCATGAAAAAAAAAAAGAGAAGTACTATGAGTAAAAGGGTGAATTCCTTTGTAACTAGGGAGTGGGCAAAATCTTCCTAAATAGGATTTAAAATCCAGGAACAAAGCAAATTAAAAGCAAAATACATCCTGAGTAACACTTGGCATTGAACATTGTCACAAACGTTGGTAACGAGACAGCAGAGTACTAGCTGCCAGGGTCTGGAGCCGGTGGGTGTGAGGTTCCCTTCCAGAGTGGGCAGAGTTTTGGCAATAAAGGTAACAGCCACACGCTGAGTGTGCTAGCCGCCAGAGCCCACGCCCGCATGCCGAGTGTGCTAGCTGCCAGAGCCCACACTTACACGCCGGGTGTGCTAGCCATGGGAGCTGCACGCCCGAGTGGGTAGAAGAGTTTATGTGCATTTGCTGGGGGTGGGGGGTGTGCTTGCGAGAGAGGAAGTGAGAAAGCACTCCCAAAGGGGGTGGCCCGACTGCCCTCCTCTCTCCCCTCAGGGCCTTGGGCATGCATGCATACGTGTCTAGCATGTTTTTCACTTTTCTATGAACTTTCCTACTTAAAAAAAGAGAAAGGTTGCAGCATGACCGTGATCCAGTGGGAAGGACTTTTTCTTCCCTCTGGTAAGTCCCCGTATCCTCCTCTTATCCTCCTCTGGTAATTAAAACAACTTAGATTGTGGCCAACCGGTGGTGTAGTGGTTAAGGCATTGGACTCCCACATGGTTGACCTTGGTTTGAGTCCTGGACCTGGTGGCTTGAAACTCGTGCAAAGTGTGTGTGTGTGCCCAAAATCCTGAGAGGAGAAAGGAGAGGGGATTGTAACGTGGCCATCCCTTACAGGGTGATTTCTTGCTTTCTGTTTGACTTTCTGGTGAGCACATGCACCCTGTAGTAAGAATCTCTAAAATAACAGGCTTCTAAGAGGAACAGGAGGACGAACAGCGTGGGGGTGGTCTGACGGGCTTTCAGCCCACAGGATGTCACCGGGGTCCCCAGGGCAGGTTTGCTATGGAAACTGACAAGAAAGGGCAAGGACCAGTGTCCTGCAGGGTTTCCGGAAGGCACTTACTCCAGGGTGCCCGACTTCACCTCAGGTTAGGGGTCCCAGCCACTGACAGAACAGGAGACAAGGGCCTGATCCACGGGAGGCAGCGAGCCACCCAGAGGTGGGGCTCTCGGTGGAAGGAGTGAAAAGGAGCCAAGCCTCGTCCACACCTGTTGATTCGGGGAGAATACCAATGCGAGGCCCCTGTGCTGCGCCGTGGAGAGCTGGGCACCCAGGGTGTGTGTCCATCCAGAACATCAGCTCTGGCCTCGGACTGCAGGACACGAGGCAGAGGGACGGCCCGGCACCACAAGCAGGTGCCACTGGGTCAGACGAAGCCACTCTCCAGGACCAGGGACCACCTGCACCAGCCCACAGCATGGGATGGAAGGGACTATTCTAGACCAGATGGACCCCGAGATGGGGGGCCCCAGGGTGACTGAGCCTCCAGTGAAGTGCCAAGAGAGGTGTTTCCTGGACCGTCCCGGGTGAGGCCAGGAGCCAGAGATCCTTGCAGGCTGTCAACTGCACGTGGTGGAGCCAGCTACAGCCACGCCTACCCCCCCACACGCTGGCTGGGGCCCGGGGGCAATTCATCGCCATGACATGGGGAGGCCTTGGATGCAGGTGTCAGCTCTCAGGGCAGTGACACCACACCCGGCATTCCCTTGTCACCCCCGTAGCAGGACAGTGGGAGGGGCAGGTGAGACGGGGAGGCAAATGCTGGCACAGGTGGTGGGGCAGGGCAGGGCCTGGGGCTCCGTGTCTGGGGAAACACTCAGAGTGAAGCCCACATCAGAGACCACCAGCGGGTGAGAACCCGGGCCCTGTTCTCCGAACACCCTTGGTGTATGAGAACGGGGCTCTTCCACTCGAGCTCTTTACAAGCAACGAGAAAACAATCGCAAGCCCGGACCGTAGATGGCGTAATGGTTACGACTCCCAGTCAACTGCAGTTCACGTCCCAGACTCACACCGGGTGGTGCCTGAAATCCTGAGGATGGAGAAGGGGCTGTGGCACGGTCATCCCCCCAGAGGGCGGGTTCTGGCTTTCTGTCTCTCTGGTGAGCGCCCGCACCCTACAGCAAAAACCTCTCTTAAAAAGCAAAGCCACCGCAGCCTTGCTATACCCTCTCTTTCTGCCACTTACTGCCGACTGCTCTGCAGGCTGCTCAAGAGCGTGTCAGCTGCAGGGAGAGCCGCACCCGTCCAGCCTCTCAGGGAAGGACTGTGGAAACCAAATATCACCCGCAGATGAACAACTGCAGCCACGTGAGTGGTGAGATCCGAAATCCTCAGCCATAAAAATAAAGGCCTTTTATTTGGTTTTTCTATGCCATTACAGAAACATCTGGACAACACTCGACCCGACAGCAGCTCGGGGCCACGCCCACAGCTGCCAGGGACACCGCTGAGAAGCCACTGGGTACAGTCACCAGGCCCCTCGGCCGCCTCTCCTCATGGGTTCTGCTCTGGGTCACGGGGTCACCTTCTTGTAGGTGACATGAAGATGCTGAGTCATTGGTTGTGTAGTGGTTGCCATGGAGACCGTCTGTTCAAGTTTGCCTTCAGAATTCAGCCTGAATTTTCGGGTAATCTGAGCAGAACAAAAACAAAACACTCTAGTTTTATGCTCAAACATTCAGCAAAAGCCTGAGTGCCTGCTGCAGGCCAGGCACGTGTGCAGCCTGTGCTACAGGGCGGAGCCATGCCAGGGAGGGCAGCCTAGCCTCTGGCCCCTCAGCACCTCCCAGAAGACCAACAGGGACCCGGGGTTGGCTTCATCCTGGTGAACTCAGGAGCAGCTACTTCTCTGCAAATTAGACATCTCGCCAGGCAAAAGCTGAGCTTCGGTGCGTTGCTGCACCTCGGACACACTGAGGTCACGGGCGCTCTCCCAGCTCAGGGCAGCACCCTGGGGACACGCGTTCATCAGAAGGAGCACAGCAGCTGCTCCCGGCGAGGTGTGAGCCTGCAGCAGGTGCGGCCTGCGGGAGGCCATCACAGCTGCAGCGC